GATCCGGCGATCTGGTTGAATCCGATCCGGTGATCAGATTGGATTGGATTAAAGGTTGTGGTGATGAAAGAACACAGATTTATTGTAAACGTTAGCGCCAAATCCGAGAGATCGCCAAATTCCCACCGGTTCATTTGGAGATTTCGGTGGATCAGACTGGATCCGATCCGCCGATCAAATTGGATCCGATCTGGTGATCAGGACGGACGTCCGAATCTGACCTTAAAAGGTTAGGTCGGATTCGGACGTCCAGACCCGAACCGGATCCGTTTCGAACGTCCGAATCCAACCTAAACTTTTTGATAATTTGAAATACAAGCTCTATAATAATTCGAATCGAAATTTGCCATTTTTCTTTTTAACTTTCTTAAAGTCTATAATTCTTTATATGCTCTTCCACACGTGCTCTTCTTTTTTCGTCTTATTCGAATCAAAAACAGCCCCAGCAAGCAAAATAATTGTAGTTCTGAGCGCAATATACTTTTTTTGCTAATTCTTAAAACCCTGATAACTGCTCTTATGTTTTTCTCCCGAAATGAAACCATTAACCCTATTTTTTATTATATTTTTGTTGTTCCTGATAAACTTTATTTTTTTTTGATATTTTGAATGGCGAGAGATTTGGGTTTAATTTTATAAATCTTGCATTTAAAGTTATAAAAGGTTTAGTTGGGATTTGGACGTCCTAGTCTGACATTATAGCAAAGTTTAGGCGGGTTCGGACGTTGGGATCGGATCCGGATCCAATCTGATCGCTGGGTCGGATTCGGACGTTCGGCTCGGTGCGGATCTAATCTGATCGCCGGGTCGGATTCGAACGTCCGGCTCAGATCCGGATCCAATCTGATCGCCGTGTCGGATTCGAACATCCGGCTCGGATCCGGATCTAATCTGATCGCCGGGTCGGATTCGGATGTCCGGCTCAAATCCGGATCCAATCTGATCGCCGGGTCGGAGTCGGAGGTTCGGATCGGATCCGGATCCAATCTGATCGCCGGGTCGGATTCTGACGTTCGGATCGGATCCGGATCCAATCTGATCGCCGGGTCGGATTCGGATGTCCGGCTCAGATCCGGATCCAATCTGATCGCCGGGTCGGATTCGGATGTCCGGCTCAGATCCGGATCCAATCTGATCGCCAGGTCGGATTCGCACGTCCGGCTCGGATCCGGATCCAATCTGATCGCCGGGTCGGATTCGGACCTAACGGCATACTGTAGTTGACAAAAGCTGGAGTTTACAGTACCATTCAACTTATTATTCAATTATTTCCTTTTTAGATGTCCGTTTCGAAGGGAAACAGTTGCTTTTTAAGCTGCAAAATAAGAAAGCAAAGAGGATTTCGATGAAGATCATTAAATGGGAGTGTCGAGGAGCGGCGTTTCGCGGATTTGAGAAAATCAGCAAAAAAGTGAAATCCTAACTTATTTGAATAGAAACGGATAGGGAAATTTTAGAACAAGCACACCGTTTGTTTCGAGGCAAGTGGAGGCGTGAGAGAGTTGACTTTTGACTTCTCGAGTGCACAGACAAGAGAGATTCTGGATGAATGGGCTGAGGTGAGTGGAAAAGTCAATTTTACTATCCTGAGTTTTATGCATTTTCTAGCATGCATCTATTTTAGAGAACTATGTAATGACCACTTGATTACGGTAGTTTTTCAATAGGTGCATCGATCGATTACTGTAATCTCTTAGCCTCCAAGTTTTTTTGGTTATCGGACATTTGATACGCCCACCCCGTTTGTCATTGGTAACCTAACTTTGAGCTTAAATATCTCGGCTTTCGTTTGTCCAATTTACATCCTCTTGGTATCATTAGATTCGCCAAGTCTTTCTCTATCGATTGGTACAAAAACTATTTAAATTGGACAGCCAACACCAAGATATTTGAGCTCAAAGTTGGATTGCCAATGGCAAAGGAGGCGGGCCATTACGGGATCTTTTATACGCGCCCCGCCCCTTTGCCATTAGCAATCTAACTTTAAACTCAAATATCTTGGTGTTGGGCCGTCCAATTTAAACAGTTTTTGTACCAATCGATAGAGAAAGGCATATTGGAAGGGTTATCAGACATTTGATACGCGTCCCACCCCTTTGCCAGTGGCAATCCAACTTTGAGCTCAAATATCTCGGCTTTTGTTTGTCCTATTTAAATATTCTTGGTATCATTAGATACGCCAAGTCTTTCTCTATCGATTGGTACAAAAACTATTCAATTTGGACAGCTCAACACCAAGATATTGGAGTTCAAAGTTGGATTGCCAATGGCAGAGCAGCGGGGCGTTTAGACAATCAGTTTTTGTGGCTTTAGAATCCAAGAATGGGACTTTTCCCTTGGGTAGAGCTTCGATTCGATTACGCTGATGGTGGTCCATTGATCAAACTGTGTTGGCTCGTCTTCAGATGGAATCGGGAAACGTTCGTTCAGATCAGAATTGAAAATGAGTACCGAGTTTTTCTTTCGAAATTCAGCTCGAAATGGATCGCCGCATTCACTGTGGAACGGCCGATCATGGGCGGATTCGAGCTTCGTTCGATGGTTGAGTCTTTCGATGATATGGAAATAACAAGATCGCTCACAATGACAAGTGGTTTGAAAAAAAGCACTCAAAAGTACAATTTCTAGATATAAAATTCGATCAAACTTTACTCCATTTCACGCTAAAGAATCAGCAACGAGACTGGGCAATGATCAAGATCGGAGCGATGAAACCAATGGATTTTGGGATCAGAGTCGTGTTGTTGGATCGAGAAATGAGAAAACTCGAGGACAATCCGACAACGGTCGTTTTTTCAATGATAATATTATATAAGGTATCACAAAAGATGAACTTTCTGCGCATTTTACACTGCTTCAAATGCCGTAAAGGATTCTAGGGCATAATTAGCAACTAGAGCATCATTAGCAACTAGAGTCTAAAGTTGATCGAGGAGGGTTTAGACGCCTTTGAGTTTAGACATCTCGTTCTCAGCCCCATTTTGAGATACTTTTATGTTTAATATACCAAAAGATAGAAGACAATAAGGGCTATATTTTGACATATTAAATAAAAAATCTCTCAAAATGGGGTTGAGCACGAAGTGTCTAAAGTTGGTCGAGGGGGTCGGCATTTATCAGAATAAATACAGTAGTTCGTAGCGATTTGGTTAGCACAAATTTCTCCAGCTTTTCCTTACTTTGTCGTTTTTGCTTTTTGTCTCCAATAACTGAAGAGAATTGTCGTGATTGCATGACCAATTCGAGCCACTCCAAGCACAACTCCGAGATATTCAGGCGTCAATGATGGGTCCAACTAGAGCAATTTCTAATAACATGGTTTTGACTTGGCTTAGCCCAGAAACTGGCTTAGCCCAGAAACTTCTTATTCAATCAGTACCAGTATCGAGCTAGAAATCAGAACATGATCTTGTTTGATCTATCTTGTTTGATCTATCTTGTTTGACCCGCAAAGCTGACCAGGAGACGGCCAGAAGCTAGGCCATCTATCTGACGCTTTTTAAAAGGTGAACAATATGAGAAATACCGTACTTTAGTAGAGAAATCTACTTTAGTTTTATTCTATGAGAATCAAACTTTGAATTGAATGGGAATAAGTTAAGTAGAGAAGAAAGAAAATCCGAAGGAAAGATTATGGTAGCTTGTTCATCTTTTAGAAAAAGCATTACTCGTTTTAGCAAAAAAAGCAGTTTAAAACTAGATTCTCTTCAAGTTTTCCGTGGACTCACTCATTTTAGAAATGGTTTTCGATTAAGAATATCACCATGCAACGAGTTTGCATCACTTTTCGAGGTCCACGAGCCGCGAGTATGCTTATCGATCACAAAACGGTGAGAAATAAAAACTTTAAGAAAATCAAACAGTGAATGATCAGAAAAGGTGAACAAGAAAGGTGAATGATCAGTAATTTATCAGATCAGTAAATTTAGCGTTTTGCCTCTTCGGAATGGCCGTATTTCGAGCTACAAGTTCGGAGACGAAGCGAAGGGAAAAGTGACGATTTCTCGCGGTGGATCATTTTTGAGTGGATCGGGTTTGTTTGCTGGTTAACTAGTGTTAGACGATTGACTCGATTCTCTTTTAATAATGTTAACTTTTGCAAGAGTTGGGTGTAGAAATCTATAATGAGTATTCCAAAGTCTCTCAGTACTTTCTAAAAGTCATCAATCTTGTGTCTTGCGTTGGTGCGTCTTGCGTTGGTGCGTCTTGCGTTGGTGCGTCTGTTTGTACAAAGTGACTGTGGCGAATTGCCACTGCTCTGCAGTTAGTCAAAATTCAATACACAAGTTAAAATTCAAAGCTGATGGATAAGCTACCATCATGGGCGGATTCGAGCTTCGTTCGATGGTAATCAGCCACCAGACGATATTCATTTGTCCGTTTGTCGTAGCTTGTGTACTTAAAAACCCTAGTTAAAATCTTATTTAAGCTTTGTCTTGAGGCAGTTGTGTGCTTAAAAGTTACAGTTGCAATTTAGATAAAAATCTGCACAAATTTCAGCGGAAAGTGGACTTTTCATCTTTCAAACAATCCCCCGTCAGCACTCCCAAGGAATCAAGGAAAGGGTTGGAGTCTTAATGGTAGCTCTGTACTGTCTCCTGTACTCCTACTAGCACTATGTATTCTTATCTCATATTAGTTATCACGTTATAGTCATATTCTAGACTTTAATCTAATCGCACTCCTCCCGTCCATAGTATTTACATAGTCCAAGTTATCAGATAGCTTTTTTTGATTTCTTATCCTTGCTCACTCCATCGTTCAACCTTGCCAACTCCATCGTTCCACTTGATTCGGTGCTTTTATCAACTCAAATTTAATCATAAATTTATTCTCAAAACGGAAATGCATAGAAATTTGAAAAGTATCGAAACATGCAAAAAAAAGACCGGCTGTAATGAATCGAATGCAAGGGAATCAGAAATAAAAAGACAAATTTGGGTTTGAGGTTTGGTGAGAGCTGAATTTGATTGAGTCAGAAAGAACTATGGTCAACGTTAAACATCAGAGATTTCTTCGACAGAGCCTTGCCCATTCTCGGGCTCTGTTTGTGATCGCCGTTTTGTGCGTTGGAGATTGTAGGCCATCTCGAAAGCGCTGCCCAATGTCATGATGATCTCCGTGGCCACATCCTGAAATCAAGTCACTCAGTTTACTGCAATTATTCTAAAAGAAACCATTATTATTCGGCTTTGATTTTTCTAGTGCTAAATTGGTACAAGTGACACACACTATTCGATTAAAAATCAGTTGGAATCAGTCGCTGATCCTTGGGATAGAACAAAGCCAGTCTTGTTGTATTCTTGACCAATAGTCTACTATAGTTGTAAGCTTGTAAGTTGATCTAGAAATTCGTCTAATCGTCTGATCGTCTGATCTAGAAATCCGTTCAATCTAGACTGATTCTAGATCGGACGTTGGATCTCACTTCACTCTAGACATCCGATCCAGAGTTAGACGATCCAGACGATTCTAGATCGGACGTAACATATATAAAAAGTGTCCGTCCGCCTGTACGGCTCACCGTGAGCCGATTTACATGATTTTTAGTCTCTTAGACTTAGAATTCTATATAGTTGTGCATCTCATATTTCGTTTTTTAAAAAACAAAAGTCATGACAGCCGGAAGTCGAACCCGGATCGTATGGGCCGTAGACCGGCTCGCTCCCGATTGTGCCACGACCGAGCCCCGAAGGCACCACAAAAGCTTCAAAACAAAGCGCCCCAACCCCCAAAAACCCACCGTTAAGCGGGTTTTTAGTAGGCTTTCAGCTTTCAGCTTTCAAAGTGTCCCCCTAAGCTCTAGTTGAATATCTTTTAATTTTACGGAAAAACTCAAACAAATGGGACAGCTATGAAAGCTACGAAGCCCCGCCCCTTTTTCTGCGTAGGTTTTTCATAGCTGCCCCTTTTGTTTGAAATTCCCCCACAAAACTTGAAGATATTCAGCTGAATGGGCAATTGAAAGTATAGCTGGTAGCCTCTAAAATCCTAGCTGTGCCTAGCTATGCCTAGCTATGCCTAGCCTTGCCTAGCTTTGCCTAGCTTTGCCTAGCTATGCCTAGCTTTGCCTAGCTATGCCTAGCTTTGCCTAGCTTTGCCTAGCTTTGCCTAGCTTTGCCTAGCTTTTGACTCTGATCCAGGCTTACAGGCTTACAATTAGAGGCAATTCCCTTTCCCCTATTTCCATTACCAAAGTCACATTGAAATATTGGAAAGCCATCATTATTCTCTTAAAGGCAAGCTCTTAAATTTTGATTTTTACTTTTTACAAAGAGGTTTTTGACAAAGAGCTCTGGTACTTAACACCAAAGAAGCTTTAAATTCGCAGAAGCAGAAGGGTGAGAAGTGTCAGAAAGTGGAAACTATTTGGGTGAAACCATTGAATCCCTTTCCCTACTCACCGCTGTCAACACGCAAAACACATGCGCAAAATTGCGATCGATATCCTGGGTAATGTAGGCAAAACAGTTGAGATCTCGCTCATCCTGGCAAACGATTTGAATTTGACTGATCGGATGAGAGGTCATCGTTCGTTTTGTCGTCGCATCATGCACCTAAAAAGTAATGATCCTTTGAATCGACTTTTCTTCTGAAAATCCCACTCACATTCACTCCATCCACTGAAATCTCCAAATGAACCTGTGGGACCTTGGCGATCTCTCGGATTTGACGCTAAAGTTTACAATAAATAATAAATCTGTATTCTTTCATCACCGCAACCTTTAATTTATTCATAGCTCGTCGACTTTCCTCAGTTCCATCAATATTCGAGATCTCGACACTTCCCAAGTAATGAGCGCTGAAAGTAGCCGTTTGAGAATAATCGATTTGATCGCCCGGTGGAGGAATTGGAGAGCTGAAATCAAATTTTCCAATAAGTTCTAAAATTTGTACTTGTTAATTGAGCTATTCTTTTTAAACTTTAACCCATAACAGATAAAAGCCGTTTTTCTAATCATTCGATTAATATATTGGGTTGGTGAATTGAAAACTGCGGGCTATTGTCATATGTGACAGTTTGAGCACTTTCCTCAAAAGAAACCCATTTTGGTGTCAATAGAAAAGTTGCAGAGAATCAAAAATCAAACTTATATCCAAATTTTCAGAACGATTCAAAAACTGGTTTTCAAAGAGAATGCCAAATTTAAGAAAGAAATGCCAAATTTTCACAAAACTTGCATTTTAAGCGAAACTACTAAGTGTATCTTTTTGGAAATTTGGCTATACTATGCCTAATTTTTGATTCTCTACAACTTTTCTATTAACACCAAAATGGGTTTCTTTTGAAGAAAGTGCTCAAACTGGGATCTCCAGTCTCCATCTCCAGTCCTGGATTTTCGAGTCTCACACTTGTCTCACACATAAACCAAAATCCTACTACGAAAGAGGAATCCGCAAATTGCCTGTAAAATGGGCAGAAGTCGTCAATAATAATGGAAATTATTTGGAATCAATTGATGGCTTTATATGCAATAAATTTTAGTTCAAAGTCCCGCAGTTTTCAATTCACCAACCCAATAGTTTCAAGGCTTTGATCTAACTTTAATTTTTTTATTTTGACTTTCTAATCCACGTTTGTTTAGAAATTGAGGATCTTCAAACGGCTAATAGGCTAGGAATGAAGTCGTTTAACTTGCTGATCCCTTTGGAGTCAATTGAAAAGACAGTATAGGATGAGAAACGGCGTCAATGGTGATCTTTGGGACGATCATTTTTATGAGATCTTGTGGAAATGGTAGCAAAAACACAAGAAAAATATGAAAATAATTCAATTAGTGCCTTTCAATTAGTGCATTTATTGGTTTTAAACGAAAATACGAAAAGAAACGAAAAGTTTTTCTGGAGAGCCTAATTTCTGTATTCTTCTGTTCACTTCTGTACACTTCTAAGGTCTTTACAAACCTCATTTTCTCAAGAGCAATCTGTTTCTTCAATTTCTCTTTCCTCTCCATTGTATCCCTTTTCTCTTCGTCGCGAGCGCGAGCCAAAGAGCCGAGAATTCGATGGATATGCCCAGGCTTTGTGATACCCATTTCCTGAAATTTTACGACCTTCATATCCCTTCATATCAATTATAAAACAAAAGAAATCTTCTTTCACTCATCTTTCCATCGATCTCAACTCACATTCAACTTTTTCGTGTTCAACTCGGCCGCGCGCACGATGAGCATCGATTTGAAGCCGTTTGAAAGAAAATTTCCCAAATAATCGGTCAATTCGAGAGAGCACAACCAGTCGGAGATATAGTTGAATGAATCTAGGGAAATTGGAAAAAGTTATCAATGCAAAAGACACATTTCCCCCACTTGCAGAAGTTGTCTCGAAGTCGATGGTCTCCAAATAGTTGAGAAGCTCGCCTTGAGTCACTTTGTCGATGCCGATCTCGTGAAGGAGTGCACGGTTGAGGGAGATTTTCTGGAAGATTGCAAAAGTTGGTAATCTTTTGCTAAATTGGATCAAGTTTAAAAGCTATGCAAACATTCGTAGGCTTAGCTTTGGCCTTAGCTTTGGCTTGGCCCAGCCCAGCCCCGACGGATTACTATATCTATGTTTCTGCTCTCCAAAACGTGCCCCTTTTGACAAACAACCGTAATCTTGCCTCCAGATTTAGCAAATCTACTTTTGGTGATTCTGTGCGGATTCTGTGAGGGTTCAAAAAGGGGCGGGGCCAGAAAGACCTTTTATATGCGTCCCGCCCCTCTGCCATTGGTAATCTAACTTTGAACTCAAATATCTTGATGATGGGGTGTCCAATTTAGATATTCTTGGTATCATTAGATACGCCAAGTCTTTCTCTGCCGTTTGATATAAAAACTATTAAAATTGATCAACTCAACACCAAGATATTGGAGTTCAAAGTTGGATTGCCAATGGCAAAGTGAGCGGGGCCCGTATCAAATGTCTCAAACCCTTCAAAAAGGGTCAAAAGGTATAAAATGATCGGACAAAAACTAAAGACCGCAATCGTTTTCAAAAGTTGCCACGTTCTAGAAAACTCATTCGATGATCTCTATATCGGATTGGAAAAGCAGGGCAAGAAATTAGTTGAAAACTTGTAGTTCAAAAATACTTATTCCATTTCTCAAAATGAGCATTTCTCACGTTAAACCCACCATTTGGCTGCTCTTGTCAAAGCCGCGATCAACGAGAACTTTGCCCGCATCGATTGCTCTTGGCTGTGGCACACCGACAACGATGTTTAACCAATCAGGAACGCTCAATGGCTTCTGAAAGAAGATTTCAGATAGAAACTTTCAACTTTCGTACTAACTAGCTAAACAAATCTCGGAAAATAAATCTTGTGCTTAGAACATAGACTTCGGAGGGATTCTTTGAAAGGTGGATTAGAGTTTTTCAGGTTTTGATACTTTAAAAGTTAAAAGTCTTCCGAAAAGTAGAGTCAGACCAAAGATAAAACTTTGTTTGATTAGTTAAACCTTATTAGTGTCTTATTTTTCAATTTCCCAGCCTAAAGCCGTTAGATAAAGGATCAGAGCAGAATCAGGGTTGTTCTAAATCCCAAATTCTATCGTAAACTAGACCAAATGTCAATGTCTAATAGTAACTATATGAAATAATGTTTTATTTCTGATTTATGGCTCAAAAACAGGGCTATTTCTATGCTAGGAAAGGAAAAGAATAGTTTTATCAAAAAAAGGAATCAAACTCGAGCATTTTGCAAAAGGGAAAGCAGATTCGGAATCAGCGTGAAATTCTGTTCTATGGCGATCTCATTTTAATGTTGTCTTTCCCTTGTTAGCCCAAATTAAACTAAATCTATCGATTTGGCTTGGCTTTGGCTTTGCTTTGGCTTTGCTTTGGCTTTGCTTTGGCTTTGCTTTGGCTTTTAGCTTTTTATATGCCAACCCTAATCAAGTCTAAAGTCAAGTCCTAGCTTTACTGCAAGCAGTCTTTTTCAAGCAGTTCCTTTCAAACAATCCTTTCAAACAATCCCTCCTTTTTTTGACTTAAACATAGACAAAAGAAAGAAGAAGTAAAAAAAGTGGGCACCGGTTGCGGTGATTGAGAGGTGCGAGGAGGGGTGGAGAGACGACGAGAGGGATTTGAAGGAGAAGAAGAGGAGGATGGGATCGGAGAAGGAGAGACTTCAAAGGGGGAGCAGAGCTTCTTCTGGATGGTCAGAGCACGAGAGTGACGATCGCGAAGGAAAACGGCCACTTGGGGCTCGTAACGAGAGGCGAACACGGACTCCCGACAAACAGCACCGCCGAATGAGCCGAGAATCGCGTTGATCTGAGAATGTGGACAATGTTTGAATCTGGCTTTGATCTCATTTGGACAGGGAGGCCAGATTTAGCTTTTTATGAGTCATTTACCGTTTTATCGACACCAGATTACTATAAAGTTTTCACTGAAAAGGCAAAGCCAAGACTTGTACACTTTTCTGACTAGAGTACTCGACTAAAGTATGCCCTGACTACCATAATCAAGTAAAATAAAGCTATACTGTAGTCCTGGCTACTGTAGTCCTGGCTACTGTAGTCCTGGCTACTGTAGTCCTGGCTACTGTAGTCCTGGCTAGTGTAGTCCTGGCTAGTGTAGTCCTGGCTACTGTAGTCCTGGCTACTGTAGTCCTGGCTACTGTAGTCCTGGCTACTGTAGTCCTGGCTACTGTAGTCCTGGCTACTGTAGTCCTGGCTGCTGTAGTCCTGGCTAGTGTAGTCCTGGCTAGTGTAGTCCTGGCTAGTGTAGCCCAATCATAGATCTGAGTGCAAGCTTTATATCTTTGCATTATATGTCTAGTTAGTCTTTCTTCCTTTCTTCTCTCTTGTCTTTCCCTCTTTCTCTTGGCAAGTGAAGGTACCGGATAGCTCAGTGGTTAGAGCAGAAGGTTGAGGGTTCGACCTCCTCTCCAGAAATCTACTTTTTCTTGCCTTCACTTTCCTTGCCTTCTTTACTTCTTTTTTACAGTTTAACTAGTTTTGTTAAGTATAAAGCTTTCCTCGCGTAACTAATCAAAAGCTCAAAAGCATCAAAAGATGAGATCAAATATAAAGCTTTCCTCGCGTAAACGATCAAATCTAACCTCCCTGTCCGATTCAATACCCGAAAAATAAATCGAGACGTAAACGTGCATCAAAACAAAGCGAGTGAAAGAAAAAGCACATGGGTGAGGCGTTGGGTGTTATGGCAAAGGAGTACCTTATTCCATTCAGCTGTTTCATTCAATGATCTAGCCGTTTCATTTCCGTTTAATCCATTCATTCCTTTCAACGAGATCCCTCTCATTTTAACCTCAATCGAGCTGCTTGTGTCGGTGCTGAAATGGAAAAGCTTCAAGCTTCAACTTCTTACACTGATTCTCTTACATTCAACTTGTCCATCGAATACAAATCAAGTCAAATGAATACCTAATCTGTTTCGTCGACGGCTCCTTTTGCGGGCTACTCGATGACGGTGGAGTGGTGGAGATTTGGCTGATCAATGGCAGCGAGCAAGTCGATGCGGCCGTGCTCTCACTTCCCATCGAGGTGGTCGATGGAATGCGTCTCGTCCCGCGGAAGCTTTCCTGAATTTGGATGAGATAGGAATAGCGTAAATTGGAATGAATTTTAATAAATCAATTGGAATAAATACGGGATATTGGATCAAAATAGGCCCCTGCTTCAGCAAAATGAGGAACTTTTTTGTGGGAAACTGATTTGCGCCTTGGTACAGTTGCATTTGATGACTCATCAACTCCAGCACCCCGTTAAACGTTTGCTTTTGATATAAAAAACACTAGCAAGGTTAGATCATGAATATATTGCAAAGTACAACACAAAAAAAACCAATGTTTTCACATCTAGATTTTGATTTCTCTAAAAGCCTTAAAAAGATCGTTTTCTATCTGGTTTCTCACACTTAGAAACTCATAACTTTGTTCAAAATCAATATCTTTACAAGCTCTTTTCAGTTTTTCTTTCAAAGCACTTAGGCACATCTTTCTGATCAAAAATTATCACATTCCTTATCTCTTAGACACCGCTTGGTCACGGATTTAATAGAATGTTTCAAGATTGTAAAGGGCAGGCAACCTATCCCTCCAACTCTCAATGGAATATCTTTAAAGGCATGGCGCGGGAGGGTATTTAAAGGGCTCATGGGTCTAAAAATTGTCGGATTTCATTGTGACTCATTGAAACGGCGAGTTAAAATGATGCAATTGCGCAATTTAATGCTTTAGTTATCGTTTGTTATAGTTATTATAGTTACGACGACAAGTACAAGAACACACGCGCGGCTGAAAAAGATTGGCGCTACTTTCTGCGAAATTTTTTCCGCAACTCGCCATAACTTTCTTCTAAGTGAGTCAATTTTTGATAATTTAGTATTGTAGATCGTATTGTAGATGTAGATCGTTATGTAGGTGTAGATCGTATTGTAGGTGTAGATCGTATTGTAGATGTAGATCGTATTGTAGATGTAGATCGTATTGTAGATGTAGATCGTATTGTAGATGTAGATCGTATTGTAGGTGTAGATCGTTTTGTAGATGTAGATCGGATTGTAGATGTAGATCGTATTGTAGATGTAGATCGTATTGTAGGTGTAGATCTCAACAATTGCAACAAAATGACACAAAAATCATAAAGATTAACCAACTTAGAAGAAAGTTATGACGAGTTGCGCAAAAAATTTAGCAGAAAGTAGCCATCCTCCAAAAAATTGACCATAAATTTGCATTTTTCTTAAAAAACATAACGGTAACGTTATTTTCTAATGACGCATTCGGGAAAAACACTGCAGATCTTAAGTGTCGTAGAAAAATGATTTGAGAAAGACGATTTCTATGTGGAAGAGCTCCTTCCAAGACTTTTGATTATTTCTATGAAACAATACGATTCAAAGCCATCTTTTTTTCTCTTAATCTAGTGCCAATTTTTCATCGATTTTCTTAGCTTTCACCAACCGATCCACAAAGTGCATCGAAGATTTGTGATTGACTGGTTTGCGGTGATGGAGGATCGGATTGAGGATGGGAATCGAGGGGGAAAGAGAGACGAATTGTATCCGAAAGGGAGTGATCCCGTTTCGGATCGTGGATTGTCTAAAGTTGGGATTTGTGTCTTGATAAGTTACTCCTGAGTAATACGATTTCTAAGAAACTTTCTAGGCAACTTTCTAAGCAACTTTTTCGACGACCATAAACTTGTCAGTCAAATCGAAACAGTCAAAGTCTTTATTTTTTATCCCTTTGCATTTCTTGGCATCATTTGTAGTAGACTTGTAACGAAAACATCTGTCGATTCTTTTTGCTGTTGGCAATGTAAGGTTTCTCGTATTTTTCTCAGCACCAACCCATCTATTTTGGCTATTTTGATTATCATTCGATGCAGAACAAAATTGCGCATTGAATGATACCAAAACCAATTCAAAATCTAATATCCATGCAAAGTTATGAAGCAAAAGGTGGTAATGGGTGGGGTTTAGGTTTTTAGCCAATAACTTTGCATGGATATCAGATTTTGAGTTATTTTTAGTATCATTCGACGCGCAATTTTGTTCTGCATCGAATGATAGTCAAAACAGTCAAAGCCGATGGGTTGATGCTGAGAAAAATACGAGAAACCTTAAATTGCCAATGGAAAAAGAACCGACAGATGTTTTTGTTTGCAAGTCTACTTTGTACCTTGTAGGTTAGATCGATTCGATAAAAACTATAAATAAGACTACGGTAGCTATCGAAAATTGGCAGATTTTAGAAAACGTTCCCGAGAGGAACACTCTACTCCCAATCGACAAACCTCGACACTTCTCTCGGTCCTCACAGAGCTTTGCTCGGTGTTAGAGATTCTCTTCTAAAACATTAAAATAATCTTCTGTTCAAATTAAATAGGTAAACAGATAGATAAAAGTAGCATTTTATCAACTTTTAAACGACTTGTGGACTTGTGGAACTTGTTGATCTTAAATTGATCAACAAGTTCTCATTGTTGATCTCATTGATCGATCAGAGATTGAAAAACTTTCGAAAACGAGATAGAATTTCACTTGAATGGCTTTTTCTAAAAGACTTTACCTCTGAAGAATTGATTGTTCTTTCAGGTGACATGCTATTTGACATGATCGATGTGGATGTGGAACGGGTCAATTCTTCGGGAATTGCCAGAGGAGCTCTGCCATCAGAATATGAAACAGATGGAGGGGAGTTTGCTGAAAAAAATTACTCAATTAAAGTCATATTATTACTACAAAGGATTCTACAAAAGAGTCATATTATTGGCTTTCAGTTAATGAAACCAAAAACTTTCTATTATTGTTTAGAAACCAAAAGAACTTTCTATTATTGCTTAGAGTGATAAAGTTGCCGAAGTGAACTCGTCGAAGAGTTGATTTGATTTAAAAATTGGATACCGTATTTTCTCTAATAGTAGTGCAACTAAATTGCTTCGCCTAAATTGCTCGAAATCTCGAGAACCACTTATCAGAACCTATCGATGTGGGGTCGGAAAATGTAGCTGACGATGAGATCTAGTGGGGGATTAGAGTGTTGAGCTTCTGCAAAAGCTTGGAAACGGTAAAATAGACACCAACTCGACTCTCCGGGGTGCACTACTATTAGAGAAAATTGGATATTTTGAAAAAATCCGGGTATTTCAAGAAGGTCGTCATGCTTTGATGGCCTATAATGTTGTCTAGAGATAATATATTTGTGTTAACTTTTTATACCATTGTATAGAGGACATTTTAGGCTTTCAAACGATACCAAATAGAGCTTAATTGGATAAACCAGTCCAAAAAAAATCAGAGCCTACTCTGAGCAAATGAGGCCTATCCAGCTTGGGTGTCGTTTCACCTTTTTTGCAAGGGAATGAAAAATTCAATCAAGTTTTATTTGGTATCATTTGAAAGCCTGAAATGTCCTCTGTACAATGATATCAAAAATTAACAAAAATATTATCTCTGGATAAAGTTATAGGCCCTCAAAGCGTGACGACCCGTTCAAAATACCCGGATTCTTTCAAAATATTCGGAAACTACGCAAGAGCCTAAATTCGTTGCTAGTAAAAGATAGAATTCTTCTAGGAACATTTTATTTGATAGCTTTTATAGCTTTGATAGCTTTTATTCAATATTCATAAAACAAGCTCAAAAAAATCCAAAGTTGATTGGTATTTGCCATAAACCCAGTTAGGTGTTGATTGGTATTTGCCTGATTGGTGTGATTGGTGTGTCGTAAAGTCTATAAACCCATTTAGGTGACAGAACTTCTGGCGCACCCTGTAAAGAAGCTTTATCTTTAGACTACTATTAGAGAAAATTGGATATTTTGAAATAAATTTTGATTGAAATTATGCTGATTAGGCTATATTTTGACTTCAGCTATTTCTTTCGAAAATGTTATTCATTTATTTTCAAGTTTACCATATCAACTCGATTTACTCTAAAACTTATTAAACTGATTGCTTGATTTGAATTGATTTCTAAAAGATGGATTAAATTATAATAGTTAGTTAGATGGATTAAATTATAAAGAGCCAGTAATCAAGTCGAAATATTGTTCGATGATTTATATTTTGATTTAACTAACTACAGAATCACAATGATTTTATAAAATTAACATTTAGCTATTTGATTGAAGTCATAATTCCATTTAAATTTAGCTTTTGGTTACGGTAACTTTACGGTTTGCCTTCTCTTTCTTCCCTCCTTTCTTCCTTCCTTTCTTCCTTCCTTTCTTTCTCTTCTGCCTTTCTTCCTTCCTTTCTTCCTTTATTTCTTCCTTTCTTTCTCTTCCTTGTCTTTCCTATCTCTTCTTAAACAAAGAAAGCGCCAATAACTCATTGGTAGAGCATTTGCCTGTTCAGTAGAAGGTCGAGGGTTCAATCCCTTCTCCGGAAATCTTTCTTTGCCATTCCTTACTTTACTTTATTAACTAGAATATCACAAAAGATGAACTTTCTGCGCATTTTACACTGCTTCAAATGTCGTAAACCATTCTAGGACATAATTAGCAACTAGAGTACGCTTTTTAAAAGGTGGACAATATGAGAAATACCGTACTTTAGTAGAGAAATCTACTTTAGTTTTATTCTATGAGAATCAAACTTTGAATTGAATGGGATAACTTATTAACTGATAAAAGAAAGCATTACATTGTCTTCCAAGTGTCGAACAAGCAAATGTGAAGACTGATGGCTCTCTTGTGTCCAAAACGTTACCCAAGCCCAGAGAATCCTCTCGATCAAGGTTCCGAGACCAACGAGCCACGATTTTCGGCACAGCTGGCGGCTTGGTGACTGGACCTGAGCTTGTAAACCTGGTTTCTTTTCTAGAAAAGGTGTCAGATTGTAACTTTAGTTTGAAAAGTGAAGAATTTTCTTTTAGAAAGACTAGCTAATCGATTTTATCTTTTTTTCATTCAAAAATTTGAGAAAACTACCAATTTTCCTCTCGACACTTCCATTTGACGTGATCGATCCCTCGCGATTTTTCTCCAAAGTGCCATTCAATTGGGTGACTGATCGACCGTAGCTCGGAGAAGTCTCGTGAAGTGGACGATCCTGAAATGAAGAGATAATATCGATTGAATCAAATCAGCTATGATCAAGTTTCCGAGGAAAAACTGTTGCCTTTACAATGACATTTTCTTAAAGTCTAGTTGTGACCAGTAAAGTTGTTTAGGATTACTTTTAAGCCAGCCAACTTTTAAGCTTCGTACCGTAAAGCTCACTGGAGCTATTGGATCTTCTTGAATCGAGGAAAACGTTTGGAGAACATTTGGTCGATTTCGGTTTCTCGGTGCTGGGAGTGTCTGCGTTCCGTCGGATCTCGTGGGAATCGCGCGGATTGCCGGTGGAAGGCCCAACTCTCGCGGGTCATTACAGTCATGAACCCATTGCCTAAAACATAGCATTGACTACGTTTTTGAACGATTCTCAGATATTTTAAGTGACAGGGGATTCCAGAGAGAGACTCAAAGTAAGTCACGACTAACGTCGCTGTTTTGAGCCTCTTGGAAGGCTCTCTTGTGCGTCTATAGCTCATTGGTTGAGCCCTCGCTCGGATCTGCGATCTGAGCGAAAGCAAACGATCTGATCGATTGATTGGTTCGATCCCCGGTGGGCATGGGGCATTCGTTTTGAGAGCTCATAGCAGAACTTTACTTTATTGTAACGATGACGTGAAAGTGGACTCAATTCTATCAGTAAACTCTACCACTAAAGCACTCACCTATTCGACGGTACATTATCATACGAGAATCCAGGATTATAAGTGTGCGATGTGCCATCACTTTGCAGCACTCGTTTCGGCTCGACACCAGGCGGCGGCTTGTAAACGCAGCTAGCACCATTTGACACTGGCAAAATCGAAGCTGAACACTTTTGGATGCAAATTTGCAATGTCAGCAGTCCAGATAGAGAAAAATCTAGTATACAAATAGATTATCGAACTATTTCTACCCCTTGTCGGTAAAGTGTTTGTCCTGGCGATGCTCATCGATGCGGGCATCGTCTCCGGGAAGCGTTTTACGCTCGAGTGACGAGATTTTGTGTTCGGCGAAGTGAGGGGAAATCTAGAAAGGCAAAAGTTCCAGAAAATAAGTTGTGACACTTTAAAGCTTTGAAATAATAACCTTGGCGTTCTCCCATCGCTCATCCTCGAGCTCCATCTTGAGCCCGTTGAATAATTGGTGGAACAGGGTGAGATTTGACTTCTAAATGCAGATTTTGAGTCTATCAGTCATGTATGAGTCTTGAATTTATAATAATATATGTTCCAATAGATGTTCCAATAGAAATTCCAATAGAAATCATAGCCAATAAGCCAAAGAATTTACATAGAATCTTGATCATCCTTTGTCGATATCGATATTGTGCTATTTGGGTCTTCAATTTGATCGAGATCGATCAATTCAGCTCGAATCGATGGCGGACGAAAATTTGAGGATGGTGACGCTGATTTATTTGATCGCGTTGCGTCATTGGCGGCTGAAATTTGAATTACTTTTAAAACACAAGGCTAGATGGCTAGATGTCGCTGAATTCGCAACAGCTTGCTATTTTTTAAACTGTGCTCTTGCCACCGTAACTCTGCTATAAGATTGCTAGTTGCCTATCTGAACTTACAGCAAATAACAAAGACTATCAGCTTACCAGACTACCAGACTACCAGCTTACCAGCTTAATACCCTACTGTACAACTTTCTAAGCTTTCTAAACTGTAGATCAAATTACCGTATTCCAAGTTCACTTTATTGTTAGACAAGTTATCAAGTTACCGTAATCCCAGCTCGCTTTCTAAGCTACCGTATCCATTTGCCCCAAGCTACCGTATCCATTTACCTAGCTATCCATTTTCTCTATCTAGATCTACCCACTCTGTTCGACGCTGTCCGAAGGGAATCTTCAGCTTCAGCTGCACTGTCCGTTGTGCTTGTGAGCCAGCAAAATATGGACTATGCCTTTCTCTATCCAGACTATGCTTTTGTGCTTTTAAATGTGAATAATGTCCAATTTGAAGAAAGCATAACAATTCGCGAATTTAAAACCCAAAAAAGCAGAACAATTCGCGCAGGGAATCAAACCCAGGCCGCTCATGTGGCAGCCGAGCATTCTACCACTGAACCACTTGCGCCCGGGTCACCTGGGCCGGTCACTAGATTCTTTAGATCACTAGATATAAGCTTGTTTCCAACCTCTACTCGTGCTGGGCAAGGGTCTCCAAATAACTTCTTTTGGCGAACGATCAGCGTCAGGACGATCGATTCCACTGTCGCTTGACGAGTTCAAATGACCACATTTTTGAATGTAGGCTGAAATTTTAAACCATCTCTCTTCCTCAACCCGATCAAATCTTACTCTGTATCAATCGTCGACAATGTCGCCACCCGTCTCGACTCTGAATGACTTGCGTGAGATCGGAGGCTCGCTGATTCTCGTGCTCGTCCAGCATCTCCAACACCGATCGACCACGCGAATCTTTGATGTGCGGATTGATGCCTGAAAAGTTTGCAGATAGGCATTTGGTGTGCTAAAGTTTCCCAGTTTTGTCTTATTTCACAGTTGGTCATGCGTTTCAGTTAATATAGAGCTAAGCTCTCGCCTTCTTAGTTCCTAACCCCAAACACAAGTATTCATGTTCTACTAACCTTCTTCGATCAAATACTTGACGGCCTCGATTTGTCCGAACATTGCAGCCACGTGAAGGGCGCTTCCCTCATCAGTCACATAGTTAAGATCAAAGCCAGCAAATCTAAACTCTTAAGTATTGACAGCTTACTCTAGTTTTTGAATTAGAATAAGGCTTAGGTTTAGGCTTAGGCTTTGGCTTAGGTTTAGGCTTAGGCTTAGGCTCAAGCTTAGGCTTAGGCCTGGGCTTAGGTTTAGGCTTAGGTTTAGGCTTTGGCGTTGGCTTAGGTTTAGGCTTAGGCTTAGGCTTAGGCTTAGGCTTATTTTGATAACTTGATCTAACGCACCTGAGCATTTGTAGACATTGAATATGTGAATGCCTTGCAGCTGCGTGAATTGGATAAACAACCATCGGGGCTGAGCGACCATTTTCAGCTGTTGAGGCGCACTCGACGGCTGACTAAAATTGGGGATTTAGTGCTGATTAAGGTTTTTCAAAGATCAACTCTCAGTATCTTAAGATCTTCTGCAGTACCTGTAGCGCTAGATCCGGGCACAGGGTGACGAGTATTTTCACCACCGACGCGTGCCCTGTCCTGGCCGCAATGTCCAACGGGGTCTCACAACGAGCATTTCGAACGCTAGCGTCAGCTCCGTACTGAAATTGGGAAATAGTATTATATTGTAGCTTTATACAGCTTTAAAGCACAAAAAACAGTTTTCCATCATCTCTTTTAGAGATTCAACAAATTTATTCAAAAGTTTACATAAAAATTTTGTATCTTAATCAGATCAGATTGTTTTCTAACGGAAAAATCAGTTTCTTTTCAAAAAGTTGCCCTTAGAAAACGATATCGTAACCTTTTTCTTGAGGTTACGAGGTAGGCAAAGGGTTTTGTTACAAAAAAACTGGTTATCGGACATTTGATACGCGCCCCGTCCCTTTGCTATTGGCAATCTAACTTTGAACTCAAATATCGTGGCTTTGGGCTATGCAATTTAAATAGTTTTTGTACCAATCGACAGAGAAAGACTTGGCGCATCTAATGAAAACAAGAATATCTAAATTGGACAAACGAAAGCCGAGATATTTGAGCTCAAAGTTGGATTGCCAATGGCAAAGTGGGCGGTGCGCGTATCAAATGTCCCCCAATCCAAAAAACTAGCTCGGTCTCACCATTTTCTAATCCCACCTTTTAGAAAGCACTTAACATCGCAGCCTAATTCACTCCTAACTTCAAAATTCTAATTTGTTTAAACCCACATCGATCAACATTTGCACAATCCTAGAGTGGCCGTGTTGAGCAGCTAGATGCATCGCTGTTTCTTGGGCATTGTTCGGAGAATCGATTGTCGAACGGGCTGCCTCGCAGAGGAGCTGAACTTGGAAATTTTCGGACTTTCTACGCTTTTTCATTTTACTTTCACAATTCCAAGATGGCCATTCCAGGCGGCCAAATGAAGCGGTAAACAACCGCGTTTATCTTTGGCTGAGCAAAGCTGCACGTCGCTTTCGATGAGAGTTTGGCAGACAGCCTAAAAATGGAGAATGACTGGATCTTCTAAAGCGGGCAACCTCATAGCCGTGTAAAGCGACGGTGTGCAGAACGGTGTATTGAGAGTTGGGATCGCGGATCGCTGCGAGCCATGCTGAGTTCGGGGTGGTTGATCGAAGGAAACTGAAGTTATTGAGACTTTTATTGCGAATAGACTTCTTGGGAATAAAAAATAGACTACGGTAACTACAAATGCTAGAACATTCAGCTTATATGATCTACTATATATAAAAGGGAAGTGTCTGTCCGTTCATCCGTCTGTACGAGTTTTTCCTCAGCTTCCAGTGGGCTGATTTACATGATTTTTGATTTTTTAGGCTTAGAATTCTATGTAGTTTTGCATCTAATATTCCGTTTTTTAAAAAACAAAAGCCCCAACACAGCCGGGAGTCGAACCCGGGTCGTGTGAGCCGTAGACAAGCGCGCTATTTACTGCGCCAAAGTTGAAAAGGTGAAAATAGCGTTAGTTTACATACGAAAATTAGCAATCGAGCTATCTTGACAATTGCTTTTTGTCTAGTTGTGTAGAGTTTTTCAACGGAAATCTACTATATATAAAAGAGAAGTGTCTGTCTTTCTGTCTGTCTGTCTGTCTGTCTTTCTGTCTTTCTATCTGTCTTTCTGCCTGTCTTTCTGTCTGTCTGTCTTTCTATCTGTCTGTCTGTCTGTCTGTCTTTCTGTATGTCTGTCTGTCTTTCTGTATGTCTGTCTGTCTTTCTGTCTGTCTTTCTGTCTGTCTGTCTGTCTGTACAAGCTTTTTCTCAGCCATGTTTTGACCGATAAAGCTCAAACTTTTTTTAGTAAACCTTAGAATATATTGTAGTTGTGCCATTTTAAATAAAAATTCAAGAAATCAAAATTGATTGGCGCTAAAGGAGGTCGAACCCGGGGGACCGTAGACTCCACGGTGGGTCGCAGACAAGCGCGCTCCCGCGACAAAGTTATGATGCCGACAAAAACAACCCCAAGAAATCCAGCCAGCGGATTTTTCGGCTGGTTTCTTACATGAGGGATACACTATTATTGATTTTCCAACTGAATTCTTGGTCCTGTAGCCTAAGTCAATGAAGCCAAGCCAGCCTGGCCTGGCCAGCGACAGAGCCTGGCCCGAGACAGGTCCAGGCCTGGCTTCTGACTCTTATGAACCAGATAGAACATTGGAAAACCCACTTCAACCCAGATTAAGCCAGGCCAACTCATGCTTAGGTTCAGATTACTGTAAAACAACCCAGGTACTCTCCTAGGCATTAGATGTGCTTTCAAATCTCGATTTAAAGATTTACAGCAATAAACAGCCGTTAAATCTACCAATTCTAATCAAAATCAATCAAAAGCTATAAATCTCAAAGCTCAATAAAATCTCTCAATTCTTTCGCAACTCACTTCAGCGGTGTCCTCGGCCGTTTACTCCTTTTTAGCGTCAACCAATACTGCAACTTCTCGAGGTCATTCTTACGGCAAATCTCGAAAAGCTCCTGGAAATTTTTCAATGAAAATCGATATCCAATCAAGTAAAAGATTCAAAAAAAGAGTAAAAATTGACAAATTGAAATTTCAACTCACATTGTTATTGTTCGACAGCTCTTTCACCATTTTTTTTCTATCGTTGATGCATCACTGGAATCAAAAGATTAAATAGAATCAGGGAAAGTTGAAAGAATCAAAAAATTGAGCAAAAAAAAGTTGAAGATTGGGCAATTGATTCGAATTTTTTGAAGAAAAAGTGTTTGTTTTCGAGCGGGCGCTTTTCATTTTGAAGAGGCTAAAAAGGCAAAAAAAAAGAGGCGATTCACGTATCTTTTTATCGATATTTTGAGGGCGCGATCGACTCTCTTTTTCGCTGATTGTCACATGTTTTTCAACAAAATACTGGGAAACAAGTCCTTTCTGTATTCCCGTTTGCCCGTTAGGCTAGAGTCAATCAAAGTCTACCAATCCCTGTATTTAATTTGCGCTTAATCCTTTAATTTGCGCTTACCAAACCCCTCTTTTCACTAGGATTTGAATCCTATCATAGTTGCTTTTACAAAAATGCGCCACAAGTCGTTATCCTCAATGAGATTCCGGTGCCGAATTTCATCGGCGGTCGACTCTTTGGAGTGGATGGAGTGGAAGCAGGTTGGGGGAAAAGATATTATTGGGATGGTGCATTGAAAACTGCGGGACTTTGAACTAAGATTTATTCAACATAAAACCATCAATCAATTCCAAATAATTTCCATTATTATTGACGACTTCTGCCCATTTTACAGACATTTTACCAATTCCTCTTTCTCTCGTAGGATTTTGATTTTGAATTGAAAAACTTTCAAAGCCAATTTTTGACTGCTTCTTCCGAATCGAAGTGTTCTCCCGCAAGCTCATTACTCATGATCCGGAATAAATAGTAATCAGGAGGGGCGAGGCGCGGACTATATGGGGATATGCCAAAAGTTCCCAACCAAGGCTATTTATTTTAGAGCTAGTCAGTTTTGCGACACGAGAGCGCGTGTTGTCGTGGAAGAGAACGATCTTTGACTTCGAGGGCCTTGGAGGGCCCAAGCCCCAAGTTTCGTTTTAGATCTAAGGGTATGAAGGTGCCTTATCACTGTAGCATGATCAACCCCTAACTCTTCTCCCAATTCATGTGATGATACCCGATCGTCGTTGGTAATGAGTAATTTGGAATCTTCCAGTTGGGGTGCCGCTCCACGGCCCTCTGCATCTTTCAAAGATTTTTCCCCAAATCGAAACTTGACAAACCATACTCGATACGTTCTTTCGGATGGTGAGTTCTCCCCACATATCTTTTTAATATTAGCAGCTGCCAAGCCTGCACTGTGCTCTTGTAGGAACTCATGAAGCATGACGAATATGTCCCGGTGGCAGATTGTCGACTGCAATAGAAGTGAAGAAAAATACCAAAAAATGAAAAGCTAGAAGCATAGTTTTTGTTGCAATAATTAGAGGAAATGTTGAAATAAACAAACCCCATTTTCAGCTGGTTCTATGCTGTTGTTTTCTTTATCTGCGAGTCCCGCGAAATAGCCCGCAGTTTTCAGTGCACCAACCCAAGATCTGGGGTGTTACTAGGATCCTATATGGGGTGTTATTGACCAAAGAGTCAATCCAAAAGCCAGGTAGCCAGGCTTGACTTCGACTGATCAAGCATTTTTTAACAGGCACTGAAAAGTTGCTAGGTCCAGAACCGATCAGAATCGTGTTTTGGCCTGGGTTCAAAGCTAGGTCAGCATAGGTCAGCATAGGTCAGCATAGGTCAGCAGTAAGATCAGCAAAAACAAAAGCAAATTCCCTCTAAAACAACCTTAAGCTTCAAAGCCCAACAAAGAAAATTAAAATCAGACGAATTCTCAGTATTTATATCTATTACAGTCCAAGAAAGAATCAGAAAATGAAAGAAATGAAATATTTCATGAAGATTGATCGGAACTTGGCTATGAATTCAAATTCTAGGCCAAGAAATGAGCACGAAGGCAAATCGTTGTGTCTTGATATAGATATGTAGCCAAACTTGGCTATAGATTCAAATTCTAGGCCAAGAAATGTACACCAAGGCAAATCGTTATATCTTGATATAGATATGTAGCCAAATCTTTTTCTCATATCATATTTTGATTAATGAGAAGATCTTGTCATTAGCAAAAAGCGTAACCCTACAAAAAGCCGGCTTTTCGGTGTGAAATTGACGAGAAAAGGGGTAAGCAAACATTTTTCTTTTCACTCTTTTCACTTTTCACCGCCAAAATCTGACAGCCAAATCATAAAGAAAGCTGAAGAAAAAGAACTGAAGGGAAAAGATAAAGAAATGAAAAAGAAAAGAAAAGAAAGTGAATGAAACCACATTAAGCACATCATTGACGCTTGATTTTCGGTGTAAGCGCAAGAATACGGGAAAGTTTGGCACTTGAACGTGCAACTAATGCTTTTGATAACTGAACAGTCTGCATTTCTAGCGCTGGCTTGGTTTTTGGTTTGCCTTGGTTGCAATTGAACTTGGTTTGCCTTTATTGCAATTGAACTTGAATTTGAAAATTGAAAATTGCAAATTCTCTACATCAAATGAGCATTTCTAGCGCTGGCTTTTTAACTGTTATGATTCTTTTTAAGTTTATAAACATAAATAGCATAGCAACACACGATTTTGCAATGTCTAAAGAATGAAAATTTCGATTTGCAAAAATTTGCGAAATTTGCAAGTCGTTTAAACGAAAGCAAATTTTTGCAAATCGAAAATTTCAATCCTTGAGACATTGCAAAATCGTATGCTGCTCTGCTATTTATGTTTCTAGACTAACAGTTCAGTTTTATTCCAGTAAAATTTGACGTAAAGAAACCCGTGCAAAGAAAAGAAAAAAAAGAAATGCAATAAATGCATTTTATGCCTCATTTCTACAGGGTGACCAAGAATTACTGCAACAATTTTTTGGAAAAGTATCTGGGAAATGTCTAATTTATTTCAAAAGTGGCAAGTGTTATACAGAGAATTGTCTCGGCAGAGAAATTGGCAAGTGTTAAAAAAAAAAAATACCGACTGGGGCTACCAGTGGTGAATTTATCGCATACACGAAATATATCAATCACAATACAACGACACACACAATACTAGGCTATATCTTAACTTAACCCACGTCATGACAGACGGCTCCCTAACCCTAAGCTCAATGGGGAACTAAATAGCTTTTTTGGTGGTGAAGGGAAGATGACGATGAAGGAGTGGCTTGTCACTTTAAAGAACTGGGGCCACAACCACCAGACTGCCCTCCAGAAAACCTCTCAACCCGAAGGGAAAGGAAATCCGAAGGGGGTGACCATGTCGCATGTGGGGTTCGAACCCTCGACCTTCCGATTAAGATAAAAGACACTTAACCAGTCAGCCACACGTGCTCTTATACAGAAAATTGTCTCGGCAATTCTCGGAATTGTCTCTAATTCTCGGCAACATTCTCCTAATTCTGTTATGTTTCTAGAAACATCACAGTTAAAAAGCTAGCGCTAGAAATGCTCATTTGATGTAGAATTTGCAATTTTCAATTTTCAAATTCAATTTTCAATTGCAATAAAGGCAAACCAAATTGTTCCAAGCGATCAAGGAAGCAAAGCAAGAGAAGATCAAGTTATTTTGAGAGTTTTGCATATTCAAAAGATTAGACAAACTTATCAAAACTTTTAAAACAAATATTTGTTTAGAAAAGAGATTTTCTAAACAAATCAATGTTCAAATCAATGTTTCTTCATCACAAAGATTTCCCTTTAGTAAAAATGAGAAAAGAGTCCCGATGATGAGTCATTTGCGTACAAAAGGCGAGTTTTTGAATCCCAAAACGACATTTGTACGATCAAAATCTAAGGAATCGATAAAAACAGTTTGATAAACAGCAATTTAAGGCTTTTAATGGAAATAGACTTTCTTTGAGGGTTTGATTTAATTGAATTTGTTTAATTAAAGTTATTTAATTGAATTGTTAGAATATCCAATTGAAAAGTAGAAAGCTTTTCAAGTTTATTACAAAGAAAAAACCCAAATCCACACGAAAATTAAGAATTCGAAGTATAACAGTGATAGTTTACAAGAAAATTTGATTGCCAAGGTTAAAAGGTAGAGCCAATTTGTAAAAGATAGAGCCAAAGATAGAGCCAAGCCGCTAAAATAATGCGGAATTCTTTGATTGCGGAAATCATGCGAAAATCTTTGACTATTCAAATGTCTAGATCGAAAAACACAAAAAGAAATAGTAATAGTACAATGTTGCGAATTGTTTTCTCCATGTGTTGAGGCCTTGAAGTGAAAAGGGAAAAAGGGGAAAGAATGCGCGAGAAAAGATTGAAAGGGGAATGGTTTGTTGAGGAGAAAAGAGAGAATTGCAAGGGGGATTTGATTGACAACAATCAAAAAAAGAAGACAAAAAGAATCGACGGGAAATGAGCCACGAGAAAAGAGAGAATATGTGGGATACGTGACGATGGTTTGGCTAGCTCAAACAGTTTATTGAGCGCTTGATCCGGATCAAAATAAATGGCACTACGTGTGGAGGTAGAAAACAACTGCAAAGCAACACCCGAATCGATTACAAATTTAGCGTTTGTACTTTAAGTACCTCTACAGCAGCTATAGTACTCTCTAGATCAGTTACAGTCTCCCTACAGCAGCTACAGTACCTCTACAGCAGCTACAGTACCTCTACAGCAGCTATAGTACTCTCTAGATCGGTTACAGTCCTCCTACAGCAGCTACAGTACCTCTAACGAGATTTTACGGGCAAAGCCAACCATCTTTCGATAAGAATAGGTTTATAATCGTCAACCCATGCTACGGAGTGTACTTGTAACAAAAACATCTTCTTTGCCGTTGGCAATTTAAGGTTTCTCGTATTTTTCTCAGCATCAACCCATCGATTTTGACTATTTTGACTATCATTCGATGCAGAACAAAATTGCGCGTCGAATGATATTAAAAACAACTCCAAATCTGATATCCATGCAAAGTTATTGGCTAAAAACCTAAACCGCATCCATTACCACCTTTTACCTCATAACTCTGCATGGATATTACATTTTGAGTTGTTTTTAATATCATTCGACGCGCAATTTTATTC